TGCCATGTCTGCTTTTCAACAAAGTTTTAAATAGTGAGACCTGATCACTGTAATCCTAACTGACATAAAGAGAGATTAGTATAGCAGCACCAGACAGAGAGAAGAGCGGCGCCTTCCATCTACCCAGCTGGCATGTCTATATCTGTTGATGGCTTAATGCATCCTATTAAGTTACCCATCCTCTTATTTTGCCTATTTTCTATTTTTACTGTCTACTTCTATATCCTTAATTCAGAACAGTGTTCACTGGGTATGCACATCAGCCTCAGAGTGATTACATGTAGGACTTTGTTTTGCATTTCTCACTTGCCACACTTGTTGGCCGTCCATTTTTTTTTGTGTGTGTGTTTGTTCAAAGTAAATCACTTATATAAATGCAATATGCAATATGTTATATGCAGTATTGCACATCTACTTCTCTCTGAAGCGGGTGAAAACCATTTCAGAAGATCTTCAAAAATAGAAAAAGAAATTAAAGTATGTGAATGCTATTTCCACAATTTTTACATAGTCACATTGTTATGAAATATGCCATCATACTTTCCAAATCAGTGGTAGTCTAGTAATCTAATAAAAAATACAAATGCTGTGTAAATTGTTGTTTTACTAATACACTAACCTGGGTTAGGGTTATTAGTTCTTGTTTATCGAGACCTCAGACTATAAAGTGTGATAGATAGATATTTTATCTGTATAATGTACATTTTCAGTAAAAAGGAGCAATGTCCTTTACTGACTCTGACGTTTAATATTTGATTTGAGTCATTTTGAGTGTAAAATGTATACATTGAATAGTTTTTTTCACTCTGTGAAATGTGCAAAAGAGCTTTCAGTATTTTTTCTGCCTGTTTTGTCTGCAAGTCATACTTTCTGCAGGTAGGCTGCAGGTACAAGCTCTACTTATCAGAGGTGTGAGCTATGTGAGTAAATCAAACTGAAATTGTGAACGTGAAGGGGACAGTGAAGGGTCTTTTTGTATTGACATAGTTTTTCAGCTGAAATAGTTAGCCTTGCACACTGGTTGGAGCTATGCTCTGAAAAAAAAATCTTATCTTACTTCTTACTTTGGTTATTTGTGTTCATAAAGCAATAGATTTGCTTGTAAATTTGCATTTAATTGAGTGTTTTGCAATGAGATGATGTTTAAAAAATCTGGCAGCTACAATGTCTGCTAACATTGCTATGTGTGTGCATGGGTGTGTGCGTGCATCTTATTGTCTAACAACAATGTGTGCATTTGTGCTGATGCGTTCATTGTGTACATGCTATATGTATGTGTGTGTTTGTGCCTGTTTGTGCAGTAATCTTCCTAACAGGGCTGTTGAAGAATAATTTAGTATTGGAATGGTTTGTATGCATAATGCCATATATTGCTCTGTGGCTGTGAAATAGTGTTACAGATTTAATAGAGAATCTCGCTTTAGGGTGATTATCTTGGGTTGGTGTTGGCAAAAGGGAGAGAGACTCGAGGAAAGAGGAGAGGCAGAGGGAGGGAGAAGAGGAGGAAAAGAGTAACAAGATACAAGCTAGGGAATGTTTCCTCAGGGAAATGTCATAAAAGGAGATACTACTGAAATTAGGGTTGTGATTTTAATAATATCAAGTAAAAGGGTGATTAGAATGAGTGGATAGGTGTAGAAGTGGGACAAACACACAAATGTGCATGAACATAGCAACACACACAAAGACGTTTAACACGGTGTCTCAGCTTTAGCATGGGTCTTCACAATAACATACACAATACAATACCATTCCCCTGATGCATTAAATGTATCATTTAACTGATAATACATGCTACTTTAGCACACAAAATTGCATGTAATAGTATACAATCTGCTTCGCGTACCGCTCTAACATTATTACTCTACTGCTGTAAATATACTCTGCTAATGTAGCTTGACCAGTGATAATGCTGTAGGGGTCCCGGAGGCAAATAAAATAGTTATTATCCCATACATGGGTAGAAAAGTGTCCCAGCTGTTATTTCCAGCAGCAAACTATAGTAGTTGGTTTACTATCTCCAGTATATTATGGTTCAGGTCATTGCTAAAACACGCAAACAACAATCATATTAGAGTCATCATCATATTCTAATGACACATGTGCTTGAATAAACAGAAAATCTTGAATCTGGTCACGAAGATTAATTATGACTGTCAAGTACACTTTTTTTGCACTTTTTCTAAAAAACCTGAGGCTTCTTATTCGTTTTCTTTTTCAGTTTTTTTTTTTACCTTTACTGCAGTTTTCAGATTAAATGAAAATCATGACTGCCCTTGGCCTGCCTAAAAAAATTCATTTTCAACATACAGTGTACATATTTTAATAGAGTTTGGTGGAAGTGCCTGACTAAATATTCCTGTCCTCTGATTGAAGATGTACCTCAATGTTGTTTAGCCAATGGAAACCCTAGACGGGTCATCAGTAGGGAGGTAATGATACACTAAACTAACAAATTGATACTGGGTTCACAATATGATTTTCTTACTATTCCTTGGTTTCTCAGACAAAAATCATTTCATTTTCTTACTCCAATGTCAAATGGATTATATGATTATAATGAATTTAACTGCCTCGCGATTTATCTTTACATTCCTAGTTTTGAGTTAGTTTTGAGTAAACCTCTGCTTAAACATTAGTTAACTTTCTCTCATGCCAGGTAAAATGTGGACTCTATAATGCTTGTGTGCTGTAAGAAGATGTGTGCCTGTTTAATGCCACCCAGATCGGATATCAGTAGCAAGAGTGTGGACATCATGAGACATCTTTTATCTCTCTCTCATTTTCTGTCCAATAACAGATTTGTGGCCACTTGGTGCCAGCAGAAACAAAGTTGTGAATGCAACACTGACATTATCACCTTTCAAGTTGATGTGGTAACCTTGTTAGCAAACTGTTACACATTGAAAAGACAAGAGTGCAACATTAGCATTCATTTGGAGTTGTATTTCTGGCCCCCTTTTGAATAATAAAACAACAAGCAGAAAGTTGCTTTAAAGCTCGGTAGAGCTGAGGGAAACTGCAAACAGGTCATAATTGTTTGAGGGTTCATCAGTTCGAGTAAACCCTTTCTCATATAAGTAGCCAAATGAGCCATTGTTAATATAAAGACGTATTGATTACAGCTGCTTTATACAAATCATGAATACATTTTTGTGATTAAAGTATGTCACGTCAAATGGTAGTTTACATTCACTGCCTCTGTACCAAACATATACTTGTATTTGCTTTGAATCCCTCTTTCTTCCCCCCACCAAGAGCTGCAGGTATATGTGATGATTACTTTTCAGTCCATGGCTCGTGCCTGGCTGACACCCCAGCACATTCAGTTAAGCTAATGTCCTGTAAAAATTCTATTAATGCACTGCCACAATGCTCATTTTCTCCTAATATTCTCTTTACTCTTTATTTCTATCAGCCTCTCATTCAACCCAATCTTTCTCACATCACTGTCCTCTGCTATCTTTCTCATTTCTCTTGCCCTCTAATTGCTCTTTGTACTTCTTGTTGGACAGTTCCTTGTCTCTGCTCTCTCTGTGTTGCTGCACACACACACACACTCATGGCTTCACATGGTTCTGCCGGTATGCTTTAACACATAGGTCAATTTAATCAGGTGCTGCTGAGTGCAGTATTCAGTCACACGTTCTGTGAAGTGAGGTCACTGTGAAAAGAGCCCATTTATATTAGACGGTCTATGGAATTACATTGGAAACACAAGGTGTAGGCACTGTCTGTCTCTTTCTTCTTTGCCTGTACTTGTGGTCTCCTCATTTTGGAAGACAGAAGCAGGAAACCAGAAGAGATATAGCCCAGAGATGGCAAGAAATGAAACTCCCCTAATGAATTCCATTTTCTATCCCATTTCTCATATAAAGAAACCAATTTCATTAAATTTCCCCGTTTATTTAACATCAGCGAATCACAGCAAGGCATTTGACACGGTTTCCATGGTAGCACAGAAGGCCATGACCCAATTTTAGGTCTGGCAGATCAGATATGAGATTGTTCATTGCGCGTGTGTTTATGTTGTTGAATGTGTGTGCGTGCACATGGAGGGAAAGTATGAAGTTCTTTAGCATGCACGCATAAACCCACACACACACACACAATCCTGCTTGCCTCCTCAACTTTTTTCTCTCATCTCACTCTCTGTCTATTGCTCTACCTTACCTTACAATGTAATGTTGTATGCAACAAACACACATGCACACACAGTTGTTATTTTTGATTAATAATGCAGTGTGTAGGGCCTAATCTCCTATGATCTGGAGCTACACAGAGTAAAGTGGATAAACTTTTTGCTTCTCTACTTCTTAGCACAATAAAATGACTCTTGACAGGTAATGCTAATGTGTATTGTTATGCCGCACATTGGTTTATGCAACTGATTAAATACACAAATTGGCATGAACACTTCACCAAGTTTATATTAAAATACTTATATTAAATAAACTCACACCAAGTTTCACTTGAAATCTCCTGTGTGGGAGTTTTAATATTGAGATATTAATGCAAACAGTTTGAAAACTGTAAAATTTGGCAGCAGTGCTCTCTTTTTATTGACACTGTCAATCATCAATAAAGTCAGGACGTTTCTATGAAACGTAGATGTCTACCTAATTCTCTATCTCCCTCTTCTTTCATCTTGTGAAACTTGCCCTCTCTGACCCTCTGCCCTTTGCTATCTACTTTTTCCTGGCTTTGTGTTGATTGAGATATAATATGCATCAACTGAAAATATAAAGCTGACAGTTTCCATTAAAATCATGTCTTGTCTCCCTGTTTGTATTTCTCTGACTCTCTCTCTCTCTCTCTGTGTCTTTCAATATTCCTCTCATTCCCAAATCTCTTCGCTGCCCACAGTTGACTGTGTTAAATGAATGAAGTTTTATTCCATCTGTGCCGACTGTCCTATTAAAATGTTTACTTGTATTTATTTTTCGGGGGGTTTTTTTGTTGTGAAGAATCATGCAGATGAAAGTGTTGAAGTCATTCATTAGCTGTATTCCGCCAGACCAGATTTCTCCTTCGCTCTGAAATGTTTATTTTATTTTGTGTTCCAGTTGGTCTTAACTATTTCAGGTACTGGTAGAAGGCAAACAAAGTAGCCCCCATATGTGATCTGCCTTGTAGCCTTGATTAAATTTCCTCATGCTTTGTACTCAGAGTCTCCTTCTCTTTCTGTTTGTGTGCTTCTCCATCTCATTGCCTTTGACCTTGGCTACAACCTAAATATGATTTCGAGGTATATAATTTATAGAGTACATGAAGAAAAGCAGAGTTGGACTGTCTCTGTTACCTTTTCTTACTAATTAAGTTCGATCTGGACCATTTCTCTGCAGAAGTTATTTGAAATATACTCTATTTTAAGGAACTCTGGACTTTGTGTCTCTCTCTTTGGCTGTTGGGTTAATGCAAGGTTTGTATTGTATTCCCAGGAACGTTATTGGTGGAGAACATGCAGATAAATGGCGTGGCTGAGGGTCCAGATCGTACCATCTCTCTGTCTCTAAGGGATAACTACGACCACTGGGTGATCCTTGACCCTTCCAAACAAGCCCTTTACCTCAACAGCACTGGACGGGTTCTGGATAGAGATGTAAGGCAACTGAACGGTTTTATTTAATCTGTATAAGAGTTCTTTTTTTAAATGTTTTGATCTTACATTGCCTCATTCTGCAATCTATATTTTGCTCTTGTTGTTTCTTTGGTCCTAGTTTCTCTTTTTCACCTGACTACAGAGGATAAATATGGCAGAAGCCAATTTTCACGGCTCTCTGACTTTTTCCAGCATTTGCTGTTTTGTGAAACTTAGAAAGTTTTAGCTCCATCTCAACTGGAAAACAACCAGCCTCCTGCTGTTTTGGTCTGTAAAGTAATCCAGCAGATGTTCTTGAAAGTCTGATTTGGCACAAAAAAGTAATAATAAAAGAAACTGGCAGTCATCTGTGAAATAGTTTTTATTTATGTTTTATTTTATGGTTAATTATTTATTGGTACTGTACAGTTGTAGCTTTTAACCACATATTTGTTCTCTCCCCCCCCCTTTTCTAGCCCCCCTCATATATTCAGTCCATTGTGGTTCAGGTTCAGTGTACCAATGAGCTGGTAGGCACTGTGATTTTACATGAAGTGCGCATCGTTGTTCGAGACCGCAACGACAACGCACCTAGTTTCCAACAGCCAAGATACTATGTCGCCGTCAGTGAGGTAAAACACACCCACACACCCACACACACACACACACACACACACAGTGACACACATAAACATCCAAAGTCCCAAAAAATTCCATAAAACTTAGTGTGGTGGAAATACTTTACTGTCTTTCACCTAAATCAAGAGCAATTTATTGCATTTATCCTGCAGTGCTGCCATCTTTCATGGTGGCAGGTACAGGACTCATGGGGCTGAGGAGACCAGAGGGGGGGGATGAGCTACAGTCGAGTCCAACATAAGTACAATAGATCAGGTGTACTGTACCGAGCCATTCCCATGCTGCTCTGGGGGTCATGAGTGGCGCTTAACAACTCCAGCCGTAGAGGCTGCAGCGATGACCTGCACTCAGAAAATGTAGCCTGGCATAGGTGCACACTGCAATGTATTTTGAAAAAAACCCTTCACCAAATAGTATTGTACATGGCATTTTGCTGTCAGACTAAAGCTGAAGGGGCAGTACTATAAGCAGGGAAAAAAACTGAGATTTTGGGCAGCTGAGGAAAGGATCTAAATCTGTTTTTCACAGGCTTCCAGAATAGTCTTTGAGATGCCAATCCCACAGTTAGTGTGTCCTCCGAAGCAGAATTTAACTAGAGGAGGTTCAAACTTAAACTGGACAAGGATACATGTAGCCTGCTGCCAGCATAGACCTAGGCGTACCCAGTAGAATATCTCATTATACAGTCCTCCACAGCCTGTCCAACTCAATCTATCTTCTCAACCTCTCTCTTTCTCTCTTGGCCTCTCCTATCTGTTTTTGCAGCCCTCCCTCCCCTCTTTCCCACTCCCCATGCCTCCTCACCACTCCCAGCTCTTCATTATGTCACCTTTCCTCAACCTCTCCACCTTTCCTCTGCCACACTCTATATATTTCTGGTTGTCTTTCCTCCTCATCCGCCCCTCCACCTCTTACAGCTCTCCAGTTTCTCATTACTCCTACAGAAATAATTCCCTCAGTTCACTTCAACGACCACCATACAATTTAGGAGATGCATCGTAAAAAACTCTAAAATATGATTCCTGTGCCAGGCCAAGGTAAATGTGGCCGTAATAATTTAAAAAAACTGAATACATTTATTCTGATGTGGGCAATAATTAACATTTGAGTGCAAGTCCGCACATTAGGCAGACAGCTATTGTCTAATTCACTTCTGTTGCCCCCAGAACTCCAACCACCTAATGCAGTAAATTTAATATTGAGAGAAAGACTACGGAGTTCTTCCAGCTTTATATACATTAAACCTGCTTTTAGTTGTCTATTACTAACAATTATTGAGTGCAAGAAATTGAGGCAGACAGATTAAGAAAGGCAATATGGTTATTTATAAGAACGTCTAGGACACAATTTATGAGTTCACTGTGAAAGTTTCTGGGGACAAGGTGATCCTCGTGGCTGATTTCATGAGTTGGCACTGGTGCCAGTGTGCGGAGTTGTTTCATTAGAGCTGTATCCAAAAGTGGCAAACTGACAGCATGAGATGTTCTGAAGACCATTGTTGGATCAGTGGGAGGCAGAGATAACCCTGTTGAGGGAAATGATGTAACAAATCATTGGTGCAGTAGCTAAATTAAACTTAATCTCAAATGTTTCTCGTGCTGTATGGAGATTAGACTTATGTTTTGACACATAATCACAGAAAATATAGCACAGCAATTTATGGCTGGCAAAGTTCTTCCTTTCATGTGCTGTGGCAAGTGTTCAACTCTCAAAGTTAGGAATTTCTCTCAGAAAAACCAACAGAATATCTTCCTGAAAATCTAGCTCAACATTTCTCGGCTAGAAAGTTATCTTGTTGCACAGTGCGATGAAAATTAAAGTGAAATTTACAGTGCAAACGTATGCCAAAATCATAGAATTTGACAGTTCCTTGCATTAAAAACTGCTCTTCAGCAGCTGCTATGTGCCGCTCAGTTCCTCATATGGTTGGTCCTTGCTGTAATCTGTGACACTGATTCATTGTTTCATGAGTAGGCTATTAGGGTCCAATCTGTTTCTGTTTTTATTAGTATTATTATTCACTGAAAGACCGAAATAAAGATAAAGGTACCCACACTTTCCAATCTTAAAATGCCTTACATAATTTTCTATCACCCAATGTCCCGCGTTCAGATAAACGTTTGCATCGATGGGGCAATGAGGTGTAGCAAACATTCACATGAGTGACAAGGAGAAATACTAAGACACAGACTGTAGACAGACAGAAAGTTCGACTGCTGCCTGTGTTTTTATTTCGAGAGCGAATGAAAGCACACAAACAGCTGCAAGCTGATCTTCCTTCTCAAGCCCCATTTGAGCACAATAAACATAAAACTGCAAATCATTTTCTGTTTGTTTTGTAGAGACAGTGGGGTATCAAAATCCCTTATGGCCAGACGCATGTGAAGAGTTTTTTAATGTGTCCCTCCCTCATCTCTGGCAGTATATGTTTGCATAACACTGTCAGGAAGACAAGACACAACAGTAGGCCTACAGGACAGAAGCTGTTTGTTGTCAGTGGTACAGAGAATGGAAGTGTTTAAGTGTTTGACATCATGTCGTGTGAGCTTGTAGACAAAGATACTGAAATTCTCTGTCTCTGTTGTGTTTTCAGCTGACGCCAGTAGGAACCACGATTTTCTCTGGTTTCTGGGGGAACAATGGTGCAACAGACATTGATGACGGTCCCAATGGACAGATAGAGTACACCATCCAGTACAACCCCAAAGACCCGGTAGGTTATCTCTAGGAGAACCACAGTTCTTTACAGATATTCATCAATGTTATCAGACATCAGCATTTTTAGCGACTGAATTCAACACATTAGAGAATGGAGAGACTAAGGGCTGAACATTTTAACATTTGTAACATCATCAGTGTGAGATCACGGTCCTTTCCAGAAGCATGGATGCCCTTTAGCTGGAGAGCCAGGAGCTAAAACACTATTACAGAACTCTTATCTCAGCTGAGCGGATGGACCAAGAGGCTATGCTCCTGGAAATTAAGAAGCTGAAGAAAGTCATGTACACCCATGAGCTGAGCAGAGAAAAGGTGGCTGGCCCCTAAACAGTGGAGGAACTTCTTCAACAACTTTAGAAGGCAAGAACACAGAAAAACTAGAGGCTGTGGAGATTGCTGAGGCTCTTTTCCACAATTTGGAAGACATGCAGAAGGTCTCAGAGGAGCATTCAGCTGCATTTAGCTGAGCTCAAAAAAAGGACACCAGGCAGGGACGGAAAACCTCAAGGACTTTGAGATGGATAATTTTTTTCACAAAGAGTTCAACCAACAGCTCCAGAGAGAGAAGAAACGGAGGGCAGAGGCAGAGAGGAGCAAACTGGAGGCCATTAAAATCGGAGAGGCCACTTTTCCAAACATTGGAGGAGGCCCCCACGCTCACAGAGAGCCAGATGCTAACTGACAAGCTGTAGAGGAGGAAAAGAAGCAGCAGGCTCTTGTTGAAGACATCGTGTAGCTCACTCGGATGCTGATTGAAGAAACGGTTTTGAGGATCCAGGGAGAGACCTACGACCTGGGGGCCATTGAGCCTGTGGAGGCTCTTCAACAGAGAACTGAAGAGCAGAGAAGGAAGTCCTGTGCCAGGCCGAGCACTTCCTGCTGAAGCTGATGGAGAAGAGCTGCCTAGTGAGAACCAATCAGTCCTCTATCAGCTGAAAACACACGTGTATCACTCCTTTAAAAAAAAACAAAAGATATGGCATGAAATAATGTATTATCTGTAGAGTTTTATTTTTGTAGTGAAGTATATTACAACTGGTGCTACTGGTAACATCCATCAAAGCAGAGACAGACTATTGGAGACAAAATACATCTGCTGTGTTTGATACAGTGTTTTTAATATTGTACATTCATAAATATGGGTACAATTGCCATTTTGTGTTTAAAAATGTACCCTTCTCTCTCCTACGCAATCTTACTCAGAAGTGGAAAGAAAACTAGCCTAGTTATACCCAAGCTCCCACGAGAACAAGGTCAAGAGAGGGGTGTTTACGGCTCTTCTTAGTTATCTTGTCTTCTTTAAACATAAATCCATTTGAAACCAGTCACCAACAAGGATATCTGTAGAAATTGAGACACCTTTAGGGGTACGTGATTGGCTAAAAGGTGTAGGGCAGTGACAACATCATTATCATGAGATGTGCTGTATGGCTGTATGAAATAAAACTTGACATGAATTGTGTAATCAGGAACACGCTATCATTACATAAAAAAATGCCCATAATGAAATAATAAAGCAATAAAATCCAGGAATTATGAAAATAACATTTCATGGTGAGTTTGAATAATTATTTTACAACAGTTTATACATGGTTTATTGATATACATACATATCTTTATTTATTTAAAATTGAACATGTTTGGGTTCCAAATGATAATATCATTGTTATATTGTGAAAGCATCAAAATTTTTTGCCTTCAAGTATCTGTACAAATATCTCAATCTCGGCTCTCTCTCTGCTTACTTGTGCTCTCATTGCTTTGATTTACAATAGACCCTAATTACATCTCTTTTGTTTTTTGTTTAAATATTACCAGTGTCATAGGAATGCATCCTACTTTAGCTGTAAATACTTCTCTACTCATTGTAGCCCGGCATTAAATTGAAACCATATTCTTGGCAGGCTGACAGAGGAACACAGTCACTTTTACCACGATATTATTACTGCTGTAGTTTCTACTCCTCCCACTACTATTACATGTCTAAGCTCATCTAAACTCTAAAAAAGTGAAAAATGAACTAATAAGTGACTCACTATGTTTGTGCTTGGAATGTGTCTGTGTGTGTTTCAGACAACAAACAGAACCTTTGACATCCCACTGACACTGTTTGGCTCCGTAGTTCTCAGAGAAAGACTCAACTATGAGGAGATAACCCGGTACCTGGTCATCATACAGGCAAATGTAAGTGCTCGTTGTTTTTTTATTTGCGTGTCTGTCTGCCTGCACTTCCCTATGCAGCTATTAAAGACCAATTACGCTGAAAATATTGAAAGGTGATGTTTTCAGCTGAGACCCGTTATAAAGCATGTCTGAAAAAAAAAAAAAACTCCCTCCTGACTGAGTGGGAGTAAAGTCAGGCTAGAGTGTGTTTATGTCATTTTTAATATCACGGTAATACAGCCTTGGATAATTTCTGTTCTGTTGTCAAACTTAAGAGAACTATAAGCACACGCTTAATTATCACTAATGTCTTTGTTAATTTAATTGTTATCCTCTTTTTCCCCACAGCACTCTGTATGTTGTATTTATAAAAATGGTCTTCCAAATAGTTCATTTTGGTCAAAACACAAAACAGACTCATGGACAACGGAGGTTGTTGGAAGGTTCTAAACTGAGGCGTGACAGAAAATTGTTTAAGTTGCTGATTGTGCCATTAAGGTTTTTGTTTTGACAAGAAAACCTTGCTTACAAAACCTTTAGTTCTCAACAAAGAATTCTGCCAAATATTCATATGTCTCAAGGCCCATTTACCCTGAAAGCATTATTAAAAGTCAACAGTATACTGAAAGATTAATGTGTTTCTGACTGCTTGAAAGCCTCACGTATTAACCGTTCATGTGAATGCAATATTAAGTGTTTTGAGTGGCTGTGAATTTGCTGAATATAAATTCGTAGCAAATACTTAGAAACCATGTGCAACCAGGGAAAAAAATTCCCTTTGGAGTAAGGCTGACCTTTTCAGAGGTACTGTGAGAAAAAAATTAAGCAGTGATTGATTGAGCAACATAAATGTATCACCTTATCTAAATGATTTATTTAAATAACAGAATGGTGATATCTAATAACTGTTTTCTGTGTTATCATATGCTTTACATTCTACAGCAATAAGTACATATCATAAGCATATCGTTAGCAATGAAAAGAATACGTCAACATTTTAGGGAATGAGAAGATCTGTACGATAAATATGAAGGTACAGCGGTTTGTGTCTGTAACAGATATGAAGCTACAGCCAGCATTCAGTTAGCTTAGCTTAGCTTAGCTTAAAGACTGGAAGCAAAGGTAAACAGCCAGCTAGCCTAGTTCTTTCCGTAGAAAGCTAAATCTGTGTACCATCACCTCTACAGCTCACTAATTATCATTAATATATCTGGTTTGTTTAATCTGAAAAAAAAGTTTAAAAATGACAAATTGGGGTTTTATTGGTGGTTATGTGCAGGAAATATTTCCCTCCAGGCCAGTGACTAAGCTAGCTCTTTCTCCTGACTCTTCCAGTCTTTATGCTAAGCTCTGAGAGTTGTATCCATCATCTTCTCTAATTCACAGCAATAAAGTACACAAGAGCATTTCCTAAAATGTAATAATATTCAGTCAAGTTACATTTAATAATATATTTGTAATATAACAATAATATGTCTTAACTTGTCTTCAAAATGGATACATTTGTTATTATTTCTGATAGCTTCAGTGACAATATTTGGAGATAAAATAATTTTAAGCCTACAGTGAGGGTAGAGTTTGAGTAATTGCTGAATAAAAAATACAATAGCGCCTGTGTTATTTACTGCTACTGCAGAGGCTGTTCTCTGCTGTAACTATCTAGTTTACATTTCCTCAGTTATTTTGCAATTCTTTATGGTGTCAGTTGTTGCTTGAAATTAACTGCTGTCCTGGTTATGAAAGACAGCCCAGAAAAACATGTATGTTACAATAAAGTGTGTGAGGCACCATGTTTGTAAGAGAGTATTTCCTGGCTTTTCTTTTACTATCAGGTGATTGGCACTAAGGAGAACATAATGTAATGCAGTGATTGAGCAACACTCAATTTAGGTGTAATTAAATAAGAGTAAAACTTGACGGTTAACAAAACCTAATTAAGGTTTTATCTTGTTTGGCCAATTTTCAAGTTTGTAGAACACAAAAAGAGTTTAATGGGAAGAGGGAAACAAGTGCTTGAAATAGCAGATATTTTCTTTATATGTTTTTTTAAGTAAAGGGTGGGCATGTGATAGGTGCATTGATTATTCAGTAGCAGAAAGTTTGGGCTCCTGTAGATTCATCTGGCTATTTTGTTCTGAGAGCTTTACAAAACAATACAACAACTGGTTTGTGTATATCTTAATTATTTTGAAAGAAAACTGAAAACACAGCAGTTATATTGACCATTCAGATGAATAGGACTGTTACATTTTTCCTCTGAATTTGCTGAGCAGCTATTTGTAAGTAATTGTGATGGTGGATACTTAGCAAACTAACGAGTAAACAAATGTGTACACAAAGGAATGATTGCACATGTCTAAGCAGAAATAAAAGTTTGTCGATAGCTTTACTTTCAGTGTCTGACTAAGACTTTGATTCTTTCTTTCCCTAGTTGTTTTGATATTTTACAAGATATTCACTGAAACCCAGCTATTTCAGTTTAAGGTCTCTTGAAGGTCTTTCTCTAGATAAAAGTGTGTAAGCACATCCATTTTTCATTGTGTGTATCAACATGCCTACTTTTATTTTTTTGGATGGTATGGTTTCTTCAAAAGTTTGAGTCCTTGACATAATACAGACATTTCCACTGGATAGTATTACTTAGATTAAACCAAATTGATAGATCAAACCAAACACTGGCTCTTGATAGGGGTTTGCATGTTTTTCGTGTGTTTCGCAGCCACCATAGTTTCTCTCAGGCCAAGATTTCATCACCTTTTGAGATCAAGAAGAAATTGTTGGAGATTGGGCTAACTTGTTTTTAATAAATTTGCCATTGAGGGCAAGAAAATGGTTTAGTACTTGAACCAGTTATAAATGCATTAGAAGTCTGTTTATTTGCTCTTGATGAGGTATAAATAGATGAAGACAGTAAGTTAAGGAGCCTTTGAAGGCATTGAGAGATCCCTACAGCTTTGTTTTTTTTTTTTTGTAAAATATTCAGCGGGAGTGCGCTGTGGTCGCTTTCTGTTCAAGACATGAAGATAAGGATATGTAAATATCTAAATAGGAAAGTGCAATATCATCCAAAAATAAAATAAAAGCTCTCTCTCTCTCTCCTCCTAGGACCGAGCCCCTTATCCGAGCGAGCGCCGTACAGCTACCACCACTCTAACAGTGGATGTACTGGATGGTGACGACTTGGGTCCAATGTTTCTACCTTGTACACTTGTGGGAAACACCCGTGACTGTAGTCCCATCACGTATAGGGCTAATGTACTGGAGCTGACCGAGCCGGTAAGTGTGTGCCTGATATGGACCTATACTGTATCACATTTGTGTGTATGGTGCAGAGGGCATGTTTCTATCTGTATCTGTGTGATCAACCTATACATAGTAGTGTATGTGTGCTTGCGTGCATGCTGTGTTCAGTTTTACACTTACATTTAGTACACTTTTGTGACCTAAGATAGTTTTGGCAGTCTTGACTATTTTATGCTTAGAATAAGGTTAATAGTGAGAGCTAATCTCTTAGGACTCATCCTCACAATTTTGTACGCTTCTGCCTATTTATATGTACCCATATTTAACTATTTATAATTCTAGGCCTTGAAGAACAGATGCGGCTCCTGTGTATCTACTGAATTTAGGATTTCGACATTATTTGTCAAATAATAAGTCAGCCCCTTAAAATCCAGTGAAATTAAATTATTTTAGCCGGTTACAAATGGCTTTGAAATTTGACAGTGGAAATCAACAAACTTTGTTCTAGTACCTCTTAACAACATACTCCATGGTTTGAAATTAGACCTTGTTTGGCCATGTTTTTTCAAACCACTGTGCTTTCAAACATGATTCCTTTCAATGTCACACCTGCAGTAAAGATAAAAATATCAAACATTTATTTCTTCAATTTGACATTTAAAACTAGTTGTTAAGTAATGAGAACAAAGGCTATAATCATTCATGTCTCAGAAATATGCACTCCTGTCCTCTACGTGAACACAGAAACTAAATTAAGATTTCACAAGCAGTTAGCATAATTTAAAACAAGAACACTGTCATTTTAATGATAAGTAGGTGTTAGTCACATAATGTGGCCTGCAGAGTTGAAAGAATAGATTTATACTATTGCGTCCACACAGATGATGTAACCATTATTTTATGAAAAAGGTTATATTCATTATTATTGTTTTTTTTTTTTAGATTATACGATGTTAAAAGATCTATACTGTTTGACCATGTCACTTTAATTGTGAGTCACAAAATGATGTTGTTAAACTCTGTAATTGAGGGGAAAGCAAGTGTATTTAATGACCCTAAGAGACTGTTTCGGACAAAAAGTTATTCAATGATATTATTGACAAATTGCACTGTAAATTTCTTGCATAGTGTTGTTTAAATGTGAGTCTTCAATACCATGGTCTGTGTTTATGCTTACACAGCTGTATATATCATTTTGCATTTGTATCTCGGGCATTTAGCTGATGCTGTTATCCAGAGCGACTTACAATACCACTTTGTAAATGAGACAAAGTTGCTGCAGGCAAAATCCTCAACTCTGACAAGTCAGCAGAGCATTCATCCCTTACCACACACAGGCGCACATACACACACACCCTTGATGGTGACAAGCTAGCAGTGCGTTCATGCCTTAAACCCCCCCCCACATCGACCTACACACACATACCCTTAACAGTGTCAAGCCAGTAGAGCAGTCATGCCTAACTGGACATTGTCTACTTCATCTCTTTGTTTATACTGAGATCTTCGTCTTAAATCATCACACGTGCACACACACACACAAACACGTGCTTACGCATGCACACATATGCTCACTTTACTCCAGACACACTGAAGGATCTCTTTCTCTGCCTTCAAGCCTCTCTCTCATTCTTATCTCTCCTCCTTCACACATACACTCTCACAGACATGGACACACACAATTTTCCCCAAGCAAGGCGAGACACAGCGAGGAACAATAGGAGTAAATCAACTTTACACCTTGTGGTTTTGCGAAGGAGCAAGTGTACAGAGACAAGGACAAGGTTTACGATGTATAGGTGGTGTTGGGATGATGTGGGGGGGGGGGGGATCAA